AAGACAAAACTATGGAGAAGGCTTTACATGGCTCATGCTCTGAAGCATATCACATCTTTAAAACAAAGTGGAGGCAGTATAATGGTATGGCCATGTATGTCTTTCAATAGTACTGAATAAAAGATTGAAGTGTGGGTCACCCAACCACACATAAAACACAGTGAATCAAAACAAATGAACAATTGTGGTGAGAGCACACTCGATAAATATATGTATAAAAACACACACGTAAGTTTTACCATAAACTTGATAAAAGTTGTGGTAAGAGCACACTCAGGAAGGTAGAATTCCAGCTGGATACTGGACTTCCAACACATAATTTGTAAAAAAAAAACAAAAAAACAAAGAAAGGGTAATAGAAAGTAGACAGGAAAAATGTATTTAAACAAAAAAAAAAGTATAAAAATGTAAAAGGATCTCCAATAAGCAACTGCACTTTAGTGCAAATACATTTTTCCTGGCTATGTTCTTTGTTTTTTACAAATTAAGTGTTGGAAGTTGAGTATCCGGTGGGAATTCTACCTGCCTGATCTCAGCAACATTTACAACAAAAGGCGCTGAAAGTCTGAGCCTACTATTAAGTGGCTCAGCAATATGTGAGTGGGACCATTTAGTGTTTATTTGTTTTCATTACTATTGTATGCAGATTTCACTATTGTTATGGCCGTGACTTAAAGGACCACTATAGTGCCAGGAAAACATACTCGTTTTCCTGGCACTATAGTGCCCTGAGGGTGCCCCCACCCTCAGGGACCCCCTCCCGCCCGGCTCTGGAAAGGGGAAAGGGGTTAAAACTTACCTTTTTCCAGCGCTGGGCGGAGAGCTCTCTGCCTCCTCTCCTCCTCCGTTACGTCCCGCCGGCTGAATGCGCACGCGCGGCAAGAGCTGCCGGTCACAATGCTTTCCTACAATGGAGTGAATGTAGAATGTAGAGTGTGTGTTTGTGTAAGGATGTAGTGTGTGTACATTTTATATACAATGTTGTGTGCTGGGTGCCCTCTGTGGTGTACAGGAAGCCGGGACCAGGGGCTCGCACCATGCCACCGAGCCATTAAAGAATGTGATCTCCCCCCTCCCTGGCCACAGGTAAGATGCAAGGAGGAGGGAATAAAATACTATTTACTACAATTAATGGCCAAAAAAAACCCAAAGATTCTCACCCCCCCCCACACTCATTATGCATCCTCACAACATTGTATATAAAATGTACACACACTACATCCTTACACAAACACACACTCTACATTCACTACATCCATTACACAAACACACACTCTTCATTTACTACACACACTGCAACCTTACACATACACACACTCTGCATTCACTACACACACTAAATCCTTACACAACCACACACACTGCATTCACTACACATGCTACTGGCTAACACACAATCTGCATTCACTACACACACTAAATCCTTACACATACACACACTCTGCACTCACTACACACACTAAATCCTTACAGAAACACACACACTGCATTCACTACACACACTACAGCCTAACACACAATCTGCATTCACTACACACACTACATCATTACACAAACACACACTCTGCATTTACTACACAAGCTACATACTTACACAAACACACACGCACTGCATCCACTACACACACATCCTTACGCATACACCTTGTAACAGAGCGTGTACTTTACTCAAAATCTCGATGTCATTCCCATTTCACCAAACCGATCTGAGTGATTCTTGAATATGTTATACACTCAGATTGTGGCTATTGGGGGATGTACTTTTTGTTGGGTTCCTGAGTATGGTGGGGGTAGTTTTTGGGTATAGTATATTTTGTTGGATTTTCTGTGTCTTAGAAATAAGGAAATTAGAGGATTTTTCTCATGCAATTATCTCTCAGGCATAGAGGATCTTGGGATTGAAACCACTGTTTTATTGTGTTGTAAACCCCTTGTAGATGACAGGGCATAAAAGCCGTGTGTGGCAAAATAAACTTCAGTTGACTCCCAGAACTATGTTTTATCAAGTTACTGGGGGAATGGATGTCTGTATGCTTTAATGGTTCCAAAGTGGCTGAAGGAAAGAATTAGCGGAGGTAACCAGTCGGGTTACCAAAGGTCCGCTACAACAACACATGTATTTTTTACCATAAACTTGATCAAAGTTGTGGTGAGAGCACACTCAATAAGTATATGTATAAAAACACACACATGCAATTTTTACCATAAAATTGATTAAAAAAACAACCTAAAACACAAAGAAGTAGCAGACCACAGTTGTAATGATATTAATATAATGATTTATGACACAAAATAAAGCATAATGAGGTTAATGCTATAGAGGCACCACTAGGGGCAGTATGTAGGATTCCTTAAGCCATGTGCTTCTGGCAGTGATGTCACAGGCCAGCCTACTTTAGAAATACAATGAATAAATGCCAGATGTAGGAGGGCTTTAGTCTCTTTGCTGTTCTAAATTGTGGACTACCATCAGCTGACTGTTTTGCCGCCATCAGGGGCACGTTTTGCCGCCATCAGGGGCACGACAACCATGACGGTCCCGGCTTCCTGTACACCACAGAGGGCACCCAGCATACTCCATCTCCACTTCCCAGCTGCTCTTCTCTGTCTAAGTCTCACAAGCCGTGCGGAGTGTTGCATGGTAATCCATGGCAACACTCTGACAGCCTCGCAGCTCACGAGACTTAGATAAAGAAGCGCAGCTGGGAAGTGGAGATGGAGTGTGCTGGGTCCCCTCTGAAATGTACAGGAAGCCAGGGGCCCACAGGTGTACATATCTATAACGATAATAGCTTCATATATGTGCATATAGGGAATGTGGGGTAGAGAATACCAAAGCAGTCCGGGCTTCCCAGGACCGCCAGGCCCATAACAACTGTCATGGTTGTCGTGCCCCTGATGGTGGCAAAACAGTCAGCTGATGGTAGTCCACAATTTAGAAAGGCAAAGAGACTAAAGCCCTCCTACATCTGGTATTTATTCATTGTATTTCTAAAGTAGGCTGGCCTGTGATATCACTGCCAGAAGCACATGGCTTAAGGAATCCTACACACTGCCCCTAGTGGTGCCTCTATAGCATTAACCTCATTATGCTTTATTTTGTGTCATAAATCATTATATTAATATCATTACAACTGTGGTCTGCTACTTTGTGTTTTAGGTTGTTTTTTTAATCAATTTTATGGTAGAAATTGCATGTGTGTGTTTTTATACATATACTTATTGAGTGTGCTCTCACCACAACTTTGATCAAGTTTATGGTAAAAAATACATGTGTTGTTGTAGCGGACCACTGGTAACCCGACTGGTTACCTCCGCTAATTCCTTCCTTCAGCCACTTTGGAACCATTAAAGCATACAGACATCCATTCCCCCAGTAACTTGATAAAACATAGTTCTGGGAGTCAACTGAAGTTTATTTGGCCACACATGGCTTTTATGCCCAGTCATCTACAAGGGGTTTACAACACAATAAAACAGTGGTTTCAATCCCAAGATCCTCTATGCCTGAGAGATAATTGCATGAGAAAAATCCTCTAATTTCCTTATCTTTAAGACACAGAAAATCCAACAAAATATACTATACCCAAAAACTACCCCCACCATACTCAGGAACCCAACAAAAAGTACATCCCCCAATAGCCACGATCTGAGTGTATAACATATTCAAGAATCACTCAGATCGGTTTGGTGAAATGGGAATGACATCGAGATAAAGTTTTGAAGAGACAGACACGAGACGCTGGCCCAAAACAGTTCCAAGAAAATAGGTACTCTGGCCAGTTTCCATTCGTGAGGTTACTGTGCGAACACCACGCAAGGGAATCTCTTCATTCCAGGATATGAATGCTCCCCCTGTTCGGTAGTTCATATCTCCTGAACATTGTTCATTAAGATGGTCAGGAAACAGAACGGGCAGTGGTCTAAGTTTTACAGGCGTTCGCATGAGTGCCTAGCCGCAACGAGTTCCAGGCACAGGAGGCAAGATGGCTGCCATTCTTTTATCTGCCACGTGTTTGGTTATATGAAATGACGGCCACCCTAGGGAAGCATTTATTAATTACTTCCCTTGTAGTTTCGCACTGAAGTATCTAGTATGAACATTCCAATGGGGTACAGGGGTGATCCCCATTCGGGAGACAAATGGATTTTGTTCACATGAAGTACTCCTGAACAGGCAAAACACACAAAACACACAAAATAAGGGAAAAACATATGAATTGGTGGTAAGTTCTGCCACACAGATCCCCCTTAACCACAAGCTGGCATACACATTCTGATCCCAACGGATCGGCTTGGAGATGTCCGGGGGAGTACTCACAGATCACTTCTCCAGTTCTGTCTGTCGTGATAACCCGTTGGCATTCCCATTTTGCTTACCGGGTCTATAGTGAATGGTTAAGTCATATGGTTGTAGTGTCAGGCTCCATTGTAACAGCCTGGCAACATCTCCAGCGATCCAGTTAAGCCACACCAATGGATTGTGATCTGTGAGTAAAGTAAACTGTTGTCCATAAATGTATGGCTGTAGTTTTTTGAGGGCCCACACCACCGCTAGACACTCCTTTTCGATGGTGGAGTAGCTAACCTCCCAGGGTAGTAGCTTTCTGCTGAGGTAAGCTACTGGATGTTCTCCATTATCATTCCCGACCTGGCTCAGCACTGCTCCTAATCCAAACATAGAATCATCTGTATGGAAGAGAAAATGTTTATTCGGATTAGGAGCAGCCAGGACGAGTGCATTTATAAGAGCTTTCTTCAGGGCTTGTAATGCTTGCTCACACTCTGAGGTCCAAAATACTTGTCAGGGCAAGTTCATTCGGGTCAGGGCACTGTAATTGAGTGGCAGGAAGGTCCAAGCATCCTCATTGGAGTTTGGAGTGTACATGGGAACAGCCTGGTAACAGTGGGTGGCTGCTAGTGTTGCTGGAGGGGGTCCTGGACGAATCTATAAGGACCAGTCTCTTTGTTAGGGGCAATCTCTCCTCATGAGGCCATACCGGAAACATTGATGGCACCGAGTGGCTGGCCAGTTTGGTTCCCTCTCGGTTGGTATCGGAGTCGATTGACTTCTGAATGGGGATGCTGGAGGTGAAGGAAATGGTGGTGTAGGACATATAGGCTTTTTGTAGATGTGAGAGGTAGCGGGACATTGGGGTTGTCAGGCATCCAAGTACTCATCTGCTCACTGTGCAGCTTCAGTCAGAGTTTTGGGTTGCCTATCCCTCTGAGGAGAGGCAGTTATAACATTGCTTCAACAGAAATAATTGTAGAATTTCCTATGGGGACTTGGCATGTTGGGAATGCATCCAGTTTTGAGCTGCCCGGGTTAAGCTACAAGCCCACTCTGCATGAGAACCTTTCTCCCCTTTTTAAGACTTCTGAAACTTCCTTCGGTATGCCTCAGGGGTAACGGCCAACAGGATTTGCTTTACCAAGTCATAGATCCTCAGCTCATTCTCTGGCACAGCCCTGTAAGCATCCGCTGCTTTCCTAGTTAGTTTCCCGCTGCTTTCCTAGTTAGTTTACAGAGTCGCTCAAAGTCTTTCAAAAATGCATCAATGTCTTCATGGATTCTGTAAAAGCCTTGAATGCATTATAAGGGACTTTGGGTTTTGGTTCTGTAACTACTGAACTCGCTGGAGACAATTCCAGTGCCCTCTGTCCAGTGAATTGAAACTCATTCACCCAGTCTCCCTCCGCTAGCAGATAAGTCTGTACCTCCGAAATGGTTCAGAACATCATTTCCTGCGATGGGTTCTCTCCTTCATAAGCCAAGCGAATCCGCATCTCTTTTTGGAAATCATTCTCACTGACCACTGGTACCGCTATGTCCATGCTGAGTTGATGGCTCTCCATGAGTGCTGTGATTAGATCAGCACTGGAACGGTTACTGGCAAATTGTCCTCTGGCTGTCAGCAACTCATGGCCCCATGTTAAAAGACATCTTTTTACCTGCAGAAAAGATTTATTCGTTCTTTTCTGACTGGTGTTCGGTAGATTCAATCTACCGAACAACCGCATGAATGACTAGACCACCTGGGAGCTGGAGTGTGCCGGCAATTAGCCTCCCTGAAGCTGCGGTTAACCGCAGCTTAATTGACGAATGCTGGGTGGCCGCCATTCGTATCACGAACACAAGGTCGCGGCCATTTTAAACATGCGAACGCACAGCGGTGTTCGATGCTTAATTCATGGAACTGAAATCGGACACAGTTTTGCTCGAACACCGCTGAAGCCGCCAACCTCCCTTCTTGTTCGTTGAAAGTGCATGAACGGCCTGGTGTTCGGTAGTTTTGTTTGAATGTGTTATACCCCAGATAGGAATCCCATGGAGCCTATTCCGATGAGAAACTGACTGTGTAAAGACTTTGACTCCATGGCGATTACACTGTATTCGTGTGGTGTGAGCGCCATTCGCTTAATAATGTGCGCTCAGACCTGGGCTATCTGGGGATATGTTAAATGTATAGTTTTAATGTAATGTTTCTTACATAGTGTATTTTAATAGTAATTCATGTTTTAGAATCCCCACGTGCATAATGGCGATTTGCCTTTGTCTTGGGAGATAATTGAATTACTTCTCAATTATCTCCAAGGCAAAGGGGAGGAAGCCAGGATGCATTGTGGGAATATAATATGACTATGTGTCCTATTTGTCTACTTGTCTGTCTTTTGTCACAGTCTCCCATTTGGTCCCCTAGGGGAGTGTCCACCAGGTGGGAGACCTGCATGAATACTGGGCAGGTAGCCCTCATTAAACAGACCACTGCTTGACCCTAAACACGGAGCCTTGTCTCGTCTTTGGGGGGATTTACTGAACGCTGATAGAGACTGATTGCTAAGTGTAAGCCGCTTGGATGCTTTTCCTATTCGTCTGCTAGCAGCGATTCATATGGTTCCAGTTCGTCTGTTTGGAGTGCTATATTGTATGCCGTTTGGGAGTTTGGAGCATTCCCTTATTGGCGGTTCGTGAGTTTGGTGTTTTACAATAGCTGTGCCTGCATCTCTGGAAAGGGGGACGATCGCCTAAACGGTTTTTACCCCTCGTGTGCAAAACGGTCCGTTACAAGTTCCAGACACCCAATGACCAAGTACCGCTGCCCATGCTCGGGAGACAAGATGGCCACCATTCTTTTGTCTGCCACATGTTCGGTTATACAAAATGGCTGCCATCCAGGGGAAGCATTCATTAATTAATTCCCTTGTGATTTCGCACTTAAGTTGTGAACATTCTATTAAAAAACCCTTGTGACTCTGATGTGGATACCCCATGCTAGGGGTCAGTGCATAAAAGCCATGTGTGGCCATAATAAACTCTACTGACTCCCATAACTATGTGTCATCTAGTTGCTGTGGGAAAGGGTCTTGGATTTTTACAATGCTCCTTTTAGCTATGAGGAATAGCAGAGATACCTATGCTTGGTATTGCAGCTCCGCTACAGTGCACGATTGATTGGGTTGAGATCAGGTGATTCACTCGGTCTTTGCCTTAAAAACCTTGTGGTGTGCTTTCACAGTATGTTTTGGGTCATTGTCCATTTGTAAAGTGAAGTGCCATCCAATCAACTTGGACAGCTGAATTTGGCTGAATCTGAGCAGACAATATTTCCCTATTTACTTGGGAATTTATCCGGCTCCATCTGTCTTCTGTCACATCATCAATAAATACCAGTGACCCAGTGAATCAAAGCAAAATAAAAATTGTGGTGAGAGCACACTCGATAAATATATATATAAAACCACTGTGGCAGAAATTACTACCTATTAGTATGTTTTTCAACCCTTTTGCCTGTTCGGGAGTACTTCATATGAACAAAATCCATTTGTTTCCTGAACGGGGACCACCTTTGTACCCCATTCTGTTTGTGAGAGATAATTGAGTAAGAAAACTGTAACTCAATTATCTCTCAGATACAGGAAACATACACAATTTTACAATTAACATAGGAACCCCACGAAAGTCATATCACCGAATAGCTTGTGTCTGAGCGCCCACTTCATCGAAATAGCGCTCAGATCCTTTCAGTGGTTCGGAAACGCCATTCAGATGAAGTTTTGACCAGTCAGTTACATAGAAAGAGGGGTTCTCACACGAACACTGAGAATGCTCTCCCTGGCTGTTAGGGAGCAAATGCTCCACCTGTTCGGTAGTTCATGCCTCCCGAACGCCATTCTTATAACTGTTCGGGAAGTTGGATGGGTAGCGGTACTAGTTTCCGGTTGATGGGTGGTCGCGTATCCGAGATTAGTTCCAGGCCTTCGGCGACCATGTACCGCTGCCTGCGTTCGGGAGACAAAATGGCTGCCAATTCTAGAAGAACGTGTGTTCAGTTATACAAATGGCAGTCACACATGGGAAACACTTGTACTAATGAGCAATTTGTTGTTAACAGACAGGGGTGGTCGGTGATTGTGAGGTGTTAACAGGGGACCACACAAAGTTGATTCGGTAAATGAACAGGGGTGTACAGACAGCCGAACAAAAGGGAATAAACGTGTAGTCAAGGCATCCATTCTTCTACACTGCTCCACCTTACCCACAAGCCAGCATACACAGTCTGATCCATAATGGATCGGCTTGGGGATTTCTGGGGGTACTCACGGATCACTTTTCTAGTTCACTCTGTTGAGTTAACCCGTTGGCATTGCCATTCTGTTTCCAGTGGCGATAGTGAATAGTAAAGTCATACGGTTGTAACAGCAAACTCCAGCTCAACAAACGGGCATTGTCCCCTGCCACTCGGTTTAGCAATACCAACGAGTTGTGATCCATGAGTAGAGTGAACTTCTGTCTCTAAAAGTATGGTTGAAGTTTATTTAGGGCCCACACCACAGCCAGGCATTCCTTTTCTATTTCCTTGGTATGGGCCCTGCCAGGCGGCCTGTAGCTTGTCATGACGAACAAGTTTTAAAATCACGACCTTTTGGCCCATCTGAAAGCTATGTCCCCTGGTGCCCCAGACATACTATCGGCGCTGACGGGTCCGCCTGGAAGTTGGTATACACGTTCCCGACTAAATTCATCCAAGCAGTCACGGAATTCCAGCACATAGGGTATAACAGGGGTACCACTTACTGCTCCCTCCCAGTGTTCCTGTATTAAGTCTGTGGGCCCCCGTACTCTCCTTCCGAACAGCAGTTCGAAGGGCTAGAATCCTGTAGATTCCTGCAGCACCTCCCGGTAAGCGAATAGGAGGGGAAACAGGAACCTCTCCCAATCTCGACTTGTGGCTGTGAAAGTCCAGAGCAGTTGATTTAATGTTCCATTGAACCTTTCACATAGGCCATTTGTCTGGGGGTGGTAGGGAGAACTAATAATTGGCTTAATGCCACACAGTCTCCAGAGCTGTTGGGTGACTTCAGCAGTGAACTGAGTGGCCTGATCCGACACTATCTCCCTGGGAAATCCCATCCGGGAGAAGACTCTCATCAGAGTCTCAGCCACTGTCTCAGCGTGTATGTTCGTCAGAGCCACAGCTTCTGGATACCGGATTGCACAGACGACTATAGTAAGGATATACTTTTTGCCAGATGGTCTGGGTTTTGATAGGGGTCCTACAAGATCTACTGCTACCCATCCGAACGGTTCCTCTATAATGGGTAAGGGCTGCAAATTGGCCTTATGGCTTTCCTACCCTTTGACACGTGTCACAAGTTTGGCAATATTACCAAACATCTTTGGAGATGACAGGCCAAAAGAAAGTGTGAGTGAGCCGGTATTTGGTGTGGCTGACCCCTAAGTGGTCAGACAGGGTAATATCAAGCACAATCTGTAGTAAATCCTTCCTATGCTTCTGAAGGACAACTAGTTGTCGGGTAGGGACTGGTATGGAACCGGCCGTGACTCTCTCTGAGTCTCGGTACAATAACCCTTGGTGCCAGGAATATCTCTCTCCCTTTAATCCTGCCTGGGAATTAGTGAACCTACCTGCAGGGTAGGGTCACTACGCGTTTACTGCCCAAATTCTGTGGGGTATCCCAGGGTGAAAGGGTTCTCCATGGTTTGAGCCTGGGACCTGGTGGTGACTTTGTACATCTCGTTGGTGACCTGGGACGGCAGGAACACTGAGGTCAACTTGCTGAGATCGTTCACCAGTAAGACATTAGCGGGGAGTTTCTGCATCAACCTCACATCAATCAGCCCTGACCT